CGTATCGTCCTACGGCTTTCGTTGCAGTACTGTACTGTATTACCGATGGACTGGACAAGCCCCTGGAGTACAGCACTGTATCATACGCCTCCCTGGAGTCCCTTGCAGCCCTCGTTGCTGTCGTAAAATTGTTGTCAGTGCGTCGCGAGAGCAGCCTTACTAAACTCACGATGTGCCAACACCGCAGCAACAATCCGCACAACCGCCGCCCTCTCCCTTGACGAATGAATGTAGGAAATCGCTCCGAAAATCACTGTCAAGCGGGCACATGCCCTAAAATTGCTGTAGCCCACTGAACGTACTGCACATATTCGCAACGCCAAGAGTGGAAGCAAACCTTCCCCGCCCCCTCTGCGAGAAGACCACGAACGACAAACAACGACGAACAACGACTAACAACAACAAGAGAGAAAGAGATTCGGAGAGAGGGAGATATTGAGAAGAGCAAGCGCCGCTTTGCCACCGCCACCTACTCGAATCCGAACAACACCCCATAATCCCAGACACCATGGCTGATCCATGCAGTATCTTGGGCCTCACCGGCCCGGCTGAGCAAGTCGTCCGCCTCATCGCAAGTCTCATCGCTCGACACCAAGCCTACAAGAAAAACAAGACGCTCTCTACCGAAATGCTCACCGCGTACACCAACTTGCAGAGAGACATCACGGAGCTTGAAAAGATGCCGATCCATGGAACGTCGTCGCAGCACACGGGCTTGCTCCGACGTGAAATCGCGGACATCTCAAGCTTCATATTGAAGTCCCTCGCTGAGCTGCAGAAAGAGTCGAAAGACCCAAAAGCGAGACTCGGTGCGTTCGCCTCTGCAATGGGAGATAGAGAAGTCCTAGAGAAGCGAAAGCAAGAAGCGGACCGCCTTCACAAACGTATTGTACAAGCAAGCACGGGCATCGATACTCGCACGGCCGTCGAGTCGATCAGACGAGGCACGGGTAATATGTTCAGGGCGTCGATAAGAGCCGAACATAATCCTGCGTCGATATGTGTGAAGCTTGATTCTCGGGGGAGCGATGGATTACCAAACACGTGTGAGTCGCGTCTAAAAGCGGCTGTGCTACGGAGAGATAGGAACAAGCAAGTGGGTGCGACAGCAGTGGGACAGGGCGGAGTCGGGAAGACATGTGCTCTACGAGCGATCGCGCACGACGTTGAGATTATGGCAGAGTTCTCGGGAGGAGTGTACTTCATGTTGTTGGGGAAAGATGGAAACGTGGGACGGCTGATTGAAGAACTGTGTCTGATTGTGGAAGCGTCCGGTGGGAACCAGACGGCTGTGGAAATGCGAGAGCAGAGCGAGTTTGAAAGGGTGTTAGCGAAGGTACAAGCGTGGTTTTGTAGTCATGTGTGCCTGTTCATCATTGATGATGTGTGGGTGGTGAATGATATAGACGCGAATATCCTTCAAAAGTTGTCTGTTCTGGCTGAGACTGCGGGGGGCAGCGGGGGAAGGAGGAGCAGACTACTGTATTCCACGAGGGATAAGGAGCTGCGTCAGATTGGGGAGCGGGTTGCTTTCGAGCCGAGGGAGAAGGTAGGGAAAGAAGCAGTCGAGATGCTTGTGCACGCGAGTGAGGCAAATGGAGAGGAAGTGGATGATGTGAGATGCAAGGAAGCCGTGGGTGAAATACTGAAAATGTGTGGCGGATTGCCGCTTGCGCTGAACGTGGCGGGAACGAGCGTGAGGTACGTGAGGGAAAGATGGGAGGGAGAAGTATCAGAAGCATGGGGGGCGTACCTTTCGAAGATGAAGAGTCGTAACACGATTCGCGGGGAGAGTCCGAAGGACGGATATTCGTCGTTGGATGGGACATTGCATACGTCTCTAGATATCCTGGAGGCCGATGTGGGAAGGAGTGGGGAGACAGTTGGTGAATTTTCGTTTCGAAAGATGCACCGGAGTCTGTGCGTTATGAAGAAGCAAGACCGAATACCTTTGAGTTTGGTTGGAGATTTGTGGGAGATGGACGAGGAGCGGACGGAAAGGTGTGCAAAGGAGATGGAAAGGGTTGGACTAGTAGAAGTGCAGTATGAGAAGGATTGTGGTGGGTTGCGGGTGCATGATCTGACGCACGATTTCGCGGTGGAAGAAGCGAAGAAGAATGAGGGTGTAGAAGAGTGGTATAAGAAGATGGCGGATGTGTGCCGGGCAGGGGGAGGGTTGCTTGCGATGAGTGAGGATCGAGACGGAGAGGGCAAGAGCGCACGGGAGGAGTATGTTTTCGAGAATATATATCGTGTTTTGAAGCAGGGTGGGTGTGTAGAGGAGCTGAAGAGGCTATTTTTGAGTGCGCGATGGGTGAAGACAGTGATACGGAGAGGCGGGGTTTGGCAATACGAGAAAGCTGTGAAGGGATTGAGTAGAGACTTGAAGGGGAAAAGGGGAAGCGGGAAGGTGGGAATGGGACGGGCAGATGAGGATGCAGTGGATGGAATGGTTTTGATGATGCGGGCGGCGCGACTGAGTGTACCGTTTTGTGGTGAAAACAGTGCCGGGATTTACTTTCAACTATATGGGCGAGTGAAGCACAAGGCACGGGATTCAAGTTGTGTGCGAAAAATGCTGGAGGAAATTGAGAGATACGCACCACGGCCGTGGGTGCGGCCTGTGAGTGAGTGTGTAGCGCGAGCCGATGGAAAGATGGTGGAGCAGATTGTTCTGCCAAATTTCGGTTTTGAAATTCAAGTGGGCATGGATTCCAGTGGTGAAGTGTATGGATGTCAGGTGGAGGGGGGAGGGGCAAAAGTAATAGTTTTCACGCAATCTGCTGAGAAGGAGACGAAGATGGTTGAATTGGAAGGCGAGTTCGAAACGGAGAGCCAGGGCCCAGGGGCCAATGACCCAAGCAGTCAATTAGAAGGCGAGTTCGAAACGGAGAGCCAGAGCCAGGGCCCAGGGGATCTTGAAGCAAGCAGGCGCAAAATGTGTCGGCGTTTGAGGGCATATTTTGGAATGTGCTTTGGAAGTGTAACCTCCGAAGTGACTGGAGAAAACCCGAGCGTGTCAAGCGCCACCTGCGCAACTCTCTGTGAGAGGAAGGAGAATGTTGTTGTGGGATATGAAGACGGGACGTTAAGGCTGTGGAGTACGTCGGAGAGGAAAGTATTGAGAATTTTCCGCGGTCACAAGTCGGGAGTGACTTGTGTTGCGATGAGTGGGGACGGAAGACGGGTGGTATCTGGATCGGGGGACAAGAGCGTGCGGGTGTGGGACGTGGAGACGGGAGCACAAGTCGGGGAGGCGTTAGTTGGACACACGGAATCAGTGTGTAGCGTTGCGATGAGTGGGGACGGAAGACGTGTGGTATCTGGATCGCATGACATGAGCGTGCGGGTGTGGGACGTGGAGACGGGAGCACAAGTCGGGGAGGCGTTAGTTGGACACACGGGGTCGGTGTGTAGCCTTGCGATGAGTGGGGACGGAAGACGTGTGGTATCTGGATCCCGGGACAAGAGCGTGCGGGTGTGGGACGTGAAGACGGGAGCACAAGTCGGGGAGGTGTTAGTTGGACACACGGATTCGGTGTGTAGCGTTGCGATGAGTGGGGACGGAAGACGCGTGGTATCTGGATCGCATGACATGAGCGTGCGGGTGTGGGACGTGGAGACGGGAGCTCAAGTCGGGGAGGCGTTAGTTGGACACACGGGGTCGGTGTGGAGCGTTGCGATGAGTGGGGACGGAAGATGTGTGGTATCTGGATCGCTTGACGGGAGCGTGCGGGTGTGGGACGTGGAGACGGGAGCACAAGTCGGGGAGGCGTTAGTTGGACACACGGGGTTGGTGTGTAGCGTTGCGATGAGGGGGGACGGAAGACGTGTGGTATCTGGATCGTGGGACAAGAGCGTGCGGGTGTGGGACGTGGAGACGGGAGCACAAGTCGGGGAGGCGTTAGTTGGACACACGGGTCCGGTGCTTAGCGTTGCGATGAGTGGCGACGGAAGACGTGTGGTATCTGGATCGCTTGACGGGAGCGTGCGGGTGTGGGACGTGGAGACGGGAGCACAAGTCGGGGAGGCGTTAGTTGGACACACGGATTGGGTGGGTAGCGTTGCGATGAGTGGGGACGGAAGACGTGTGGTATCTGGATCGGGGGACAAGAGCGTGCAGGTGTGGGACGTGGAGACGGGAGCACAAGTCGGGGAGGCGTTAGTTGGACACACGGGTCCGGTGCTTAGCGTTGCGATGAGTGGGGACGGAAGACGTGTGGTATCTGGATCGAATGACAAGAGCGTGCGGGTGTGGGACGTGGAGAGAGGGATCACACTTCATACCGGGAGGGAAGAGGATTGGGAAGAAATCACAGCTCGGTTCCTGAAGACGGCAGACTTGGGTACTGCTTCCCGCGCAGGACGAAGATCACAAATATTTGCAAGGGAGGGAAGAATTGTGCAATTGCGAGAGGATGGGTCTGAGGCCGTCTTGGCCCAGTTGGAGAGTCATGTAGCAGGCTGGCAGATAGACCACGATCACGCGGTCGCAGTTGCAAGGGCGGCGGCCAATGTGGTTGCTATCATGAAGCTAGTGGTGTAAGCTAGTGGTGTAAGTAAGTATCGAAGTGCGATGGCCGCTTGCCGCCCGTGACAGTCGTAGTGCGTTGAGGGTTTTTTGCTTTGTTTTTGATTTGTGAATGCGTGAGAAGCTCGCCTCACGGACGTTGCAATCCATTTATGTGTCCATGTATGTGTATGTATGAACTAGCGACCTGCTTCCGTTCATCGTGCGCTCTTGTGCTCAATTTAATATCTTGTGCAATGCAATGATGTGCAGGCAGCTGGCCATTAGTTGCAGGCGAGTGAAGATAGAAAGGTATTCGTGAATGAACGGTGTGTTGAGAAGCGTTGCAGACCGGGTCAAAGCGGGGGCCAATCTCACTTTGAAGAGGCGATGGGTACACGTGCACAGGTGTCCACGTGCACAGGTGCACAGGTTTCCACGTGCACAGGTCCACATGTGTGAGGAGACAAGTGGCAAACGAGGCCAACTTTTTAAACGAGGCCAACTTTTTTCCTCAATTTTACCATAAATTTCAATTTTACTAAACATTTGGGCCTCTCCCTTTACGGAGCGTCAGCGTCGTCACTCACTCCAATTGCGAACACCGTCCTTGCAAGGGGCATCGGTTACTGTGAGAGAAAAGCACTGGGCAAAAGGGAAAAGTATCCTGGCCGGCACAGGTAACACAAGCGGCCTCCAGTGACAGACCGACCGCGATAAGCTGTCTGATCACAGCCACCAGCGAGACGGATAAGCGAGACGGATAAGTAGGAGCGAGAGTAGAGACGACGAAAGATGTTCTATGAGTTTGTCTAGCCTGCGCCCCGCCGCCGCCACGCTCCGCCAGCGGCGACAACAGCGCGCCCCAGCTCCCCATCCCGCTGCTGCTGCAAGCCGGGTCGCGGCGGGGAAGCGTCCGCCACGCGACTAGAACGCGGCGGGGTCTCGAGCGCTGTCCATACGTGCGGCGGCGACGGGCGCGCGCGCGCGCAAGGGAGAGCGGGGGAAGGGGGAGGGAAGCACAGCGCGTCGGGGTGAGGGCGAGCGCAACGGCGGCGGCGACGCTTATTCGGACGCACGTGCTTTGAAAGGGATGCGCGCATTGCTGCGCACGAGCGGGAAGCAGGGCGGCATGGTGCTTGCGCTGCGAGTCGCGCGTGGTTTGAACGGGAAGCGTTTGCGGGCGGAGCTGCAGCCATGCTACGTGCGGCGTAGAAGACGCACGGCGGCGCGATTTGCGCCAACTCGCCGGCACGCGCCATCCGCCCGCACCTCAGCGACTGCGACCGGCCGCGCCCCGCGTGGGGCGCGGCGAAATAAGCACGTGGAGAGAGGGCGCAGTTACGCGCGGCGGACGGCGGACGGCAGACGGCGGACGGCGGCCCGGGTAAGCTAAAATGGGGCTTGAATCTGCAGCAGTCGCGCGGGGAGGCCTTGGCGCGCAACAGGTGGCCGCGCGCGCCCGTTTTGATCGCGCGCCCCCGCCGGGCGGCTCCGCACCCGGCGCGCCGTCTTCTTGTCTGCCGGCCGAGAGGCTTGATAGGGGCGATGCCTTCCAGGCAGGCCGTCACTTTACTCGGCGGCGAAACGCACGGTAACGGGGCCATGCTCACCACCCGCAGCGACCCTCACTCCACGTTGAGGCTTGCAACACGTGGTCATTGTGGGCGAGGGAAGGAAGCTCACTTCTTCAGGCACAACATCAGTGTCGTCGGAATATGGCGGAAGCAAGCGACGGTCGCACTTGATCGACTACCCCTCAGGGGTACTCGGCGAAAGCCACAAATGTGCTGGAAGGGGATCATCGTTGCGGAATAGTAATTCAAATATGTTTTTTAGGTTTGCAGTCGCCCGAATGTTGCCACTCTTTATTTCCACAGCAATGGCACCACCACTTGAATTTGCACGCCTACGCTACTCCACTCACTTCGACAGCGATACAGATAGTCCGTCCTTGCATGTATAATAGGGTCGTTCCAAACGACATTGAATGAAAGTCTTCCTGCTTGCGTGTGTCTCTCCCTCTCGCGACAGACGAAATACAAAAATCCCACCTCTCAATGGGCAAGTCCTGCACTTGCAGTGGCGAAACCCGGTAAAGAGGGTTTCCGTTTTACTGTAGACCTCCGTGGCCCAAACCCAGAGACGGAACCCATCGTCTCGGCTATGCCACACCTCGAATCTCTCCTACAGTCAGTTCAGGGAAGTACGTGCTTCGCAAAAATTGACATGGCCCACGCCTACTGGCAGCTCCCTCTCCACCCTTCATCTCAAGAAATGATGTCAATTCAAACTCCCCTCAGTGTCTACTCCCCTAGAAGGCTCCTGCAAGGCGGAACTGACGCTGGTAATCACTACCAAGCAGTTACCCAGGGCCTTTTCCAAGACGAGCTCCGTCGCGAGCTACTTCAATGGCTCGATGATTTCCTTCTACATTGCCGTAACGAGGCGCATCTTCTTCGTTCCCTTCATATTTTCCTGTGCACGTGCAAACGCTACGGTCTCAAGATACACGCGGAGAAATCTGAGCTCTTCGCTAGACGTGCCCGTTTTCGTGGGCGGGACATCTCATCTGAGGGCGTTACCTTCGCCCCCAAAAACCTAGACATTATCCTTCAAATGAACAAACCCACGTACGCGGGTGAACTGCAGCAGCTCTTGTGTGCCTCTAACTGGATGAGATCTCCATACCGGCATATTCCTCTGTTGTTGCTCCATTGCACGCCATTCTCGAAAACATTTACAAGGTTGAAAGGTTCCCGTACCAAGCGCGCCATATCAAAAGTATCCTTGAGTGGCTATTGGGGGACTGAGCAAGACAAAATCTTTCAACTCTATAAAAAGGTAAATAGCCCGCTCAACGAGAATTGCTCGCCCCAAGGCAGATCATGCGCTATGCCTCTTCACTGACGCTTCCGAGACCCACTGGTCAGGAATCCTGACACAAGTGCCGGACGAGCAGCTAAAAAAGCCGCTTGAGGAGCAGGAACATGAACCGCTCTCTATCCTCTCCGGAAGTTTTACAGGGGCTTCCTATGGATGGATTGTTCCAGAGAAGGAAGGTTTTGCGGTGGTCGAATCCATGGGCAAGCACGACTACTTGGTGATGGGAAGAAGAGTAGCGATATTCACGGACCACGCTAACTTGGTCTACCTATTTGATCCACATAGGCAGAACCCAGGCATACCACGGCATACAGCGAGCAAGCTCATGCGATGGGCTTTAAAATTGAGCGCATTCAGGTACGTCATTGAGCACCTCGCAGGAGAAAGGAACGTGTGGGCTGACATGATTTCACGATGGGCTGTTCAACCCAACAGAAAACTACCAGCCGTTAAGTTGAGTTCATTATTGGTTGCTCCCATTACTCCATCACTGGACTCTAAATTGGATTGGCCGAAAGCGGACGACATTATCAAGTCCCAGGCGAAGCACGACGAGCAACCCCCTTCCCGCTTTGAGAAGGTCAACGAAATCTGGCAGGACAAGAGAGGAGTGGTCTGGGTTCCTACTCAGGACAGACTCCTGAGGCTACGGATCATGGTGACTGGTCACACAGGATACGGTGGGCACAGAGGGTACCGTACTACCCAGGTAACTGTGACAGCGTACTTCTGGTGGAAAGAAGTCATGGCAGACGTAGAACACTTCGTGAAATCTTGTCTGCACTGTCTCGCGACTGAGACTGGAGAATCAGTTCCTCGCCCTATGGGCCACGCCGTACACGGTGATAGGCCAAATGCTCTATTACATTTTGACTACTGCTACATGATGAAGGGAGTAAGAGACCTCAGATATGTGCTGGTTCTCAAAGACGACTTCAGTGGTTACGTTTGGCTGCGTCCTACACGAGAAGCCGACGCCGATACAACTGCACAGGCTTTGCTAGATTGGTTTGCTTCTTTTGGAGTTGTTTACCACTGGGTTTCGGACAGAGGAACACACTTTAAGAATGAGGTCGTGCGAACTTTGCGCGAGCAGACAGGAGGATCTCACCACTTCACATTAGCATATTGCCCTTAGAGCAATGGCACGGTCGAGGTGGTATGCCGCGAACTGTTACGTGCCACGCGAGCGCTGCTCTCAGAATTCCAATTCCCGCACAGATCCTGGCCTGATGTCATACCTGTAGTACAATCGGTACTTAATTCATCCCCGCTGCAACGCTTAGGTCGTCGCTGTGCCCTCAACGTATTCACTGGGCTTCCCCAAGACACACCATTGCGCTCCGTCACGACTAGGATTGGAGGTTCTCTTCGTGTCCGATCGATTGATGAAGTTCACTCTGAACGGTTTGTCCGAATTGACAAAACGCAGCGCGCCCTCGCTGAAATGCACCGCGACGTGAAATCTCGAACACCCGCCACACGTGAGAAGGACATCCAGAGACACAATTCGCGGACCAACGTACGTCCGATCAACTTCATCGCAGGAGATTTTGTGCTGCGAGGCCGCTTTCAAAAGGGTCGAGGATCTTTTGTCTGGGAAAAGAACTGAAGTGCACGGCCGCAGGCTCAAATATTTCAGGAATAAGGAATTCGAAGTAACCGAGGAACTCAGAAATCAATTGGCTTACCAACAGAACGAGCTCCTTGTTGTGAGCGACTTTCACGACATTCGTCAAGTCGGGGAAAAAGTGGAATTGCTCACCCAGTGGAGAGGTTTCGACAGTAGCGAAAGCTCCTGGGTTTCTCTGACATCGCTAAGAGAGGACGTGCCGATACTTGTGGATGAGCATATCCAGGACGTACGCAAGAGTGGCACGCCTCGTCAACAGAAGTTGGTGGCGTCCCTGTGACGATGCCACCGCTCGGCCTTCCGGCCCGACGATGCATGGGGGACTGCTGCGTCTGGAGCCGCCCCCAACTGATAGAAGTACGATATCGTAATTCGCAACACCACGCACCTGGCTGGGTAGCAGCCAGGAGACGTAGACGCCTGTGATTGGCAATGAACACAAGTAGCGCATGGGTGCTGCTCTCGTAGATGAACCATACATGTCAGCGTCCGCCCGGGATGGGCGTCGCGGGTCGTGGCGATGAAATAGTCGCGCCGCCCCCGAGCGCTGAATGGCTGGGAGAGCTCCTGCGCCGGACGCGGCGCATATGTGCTCGGGGATAGGCTCACAGGGGACAGGTGTTCCCTACCGCAGCTGAGACTGAGGGGGCCGGGAGAGTGGCAGCGCTACCTAAATAAACGACTCTGCCAGCGCTTCTCCAGGATGGAGAAGGCAGAGGGGGATAGACTGTCCCTGTACGACTTCCCGCGGCGGAACTGAGGAGAAAGCACGAGTACGCAACAAACAGGTACAAATGTTTGTTCGGCGAATACAAACCGGGCTTTCACAGTACCACTCTAGGCACTGCACCTGGCCCTGCGCGCGCGCTCTCAACGTGTCGCGCATGTCGGTAGCAGAGAGCTGCTTGCCCGAAACAGACTCCAAAAGCATCGCAGAAAATGCATAAAGTTTAGTGACACAGCCATGGCATGGCGCTAAAAGCACACGGTGGGAGGGCACTTGGTGTGCAGGACGGGCGCCAGGGGTGCCATCGCGGCGAAGGAGAGGGAAGACGCTTGGAAGGAGTGTTCCTTCAGGGAGAGGGAAGATGCTTGGAAGGAACACTACTAGGTGTAACAGTTCGGTAACTATTTGGCAAATATAAACTATTTTGGCAACCCACTGCTTGCCCTTTTTGCCGCACTTGTCCGAAACCGAGTCACCCAGATCCGCGCCCGCCACTTGCTAACCTTGGTAGCTCTGTGACTGATTACAACCTGCCCGCCCTTTCTGTTTTTACCGCCATTCGAAAGCCCATTACTTTTGCTTGTCCGCCAAAAATCCAGGCTGTGGCGTGCAATTACAACGTAATATGCTTTTCCATATCGATGGATAGCCGCCCATCATCGCCATTCCGGAAAAGTGCGGCAAAAAAGGGAAGCAGTGCGTTGCCAAAATAGTTTATGTTTGCCAAAATAGTTAACGGACATTATTTGACTGTTAGAATAAAGAGTTTTTTTCGGGCCACGGCCATTATTTGAGGTTGCCAAATTAGTTTCCATGCGATTCAGACCTGTAAAAGGGGTTCATTTAAGTGACTTCATTCCCTTGAATGAACACATGATGTGATTTCGTTACAGTTGTAAAGCTACAGTACTGTTGTGACAAATCCTGATCCCGACATCGTAGGCGAGCGGTTAGAAGGACAAGTGGTTGCAGTTGATAGGGTCCTACTCTACAAACACGGTGGGGGAGCACAAATGCCCGGAGACTGCCAGTCTCCTAAATGTAAGTCTTTGTTGGTCTGTCAAGTCACTACCTTTTTCCCTTCTACCCTAGGGTCAACCATCAACTATATATAGAGTCTTTGGACTCTCTCCCTCCGCGCTCAGGTCAGCCTGCGGGCATCGTGCTTTTACCGTCAAGCACGGTTTTGCTCACTTCGAGCTTTTAGCATTTAATTACCCTTCCTGGTAATAAATATAGAACTGCGCTTGTATTCCTCCTGAATGCAAGCGCCTTCTCCAATACACGTTATCAATCATCGATCCATACATGCATTCTTTCCGAATGCAAGTACCCCGATGAGTACAGTCAGATTCTAGTGCAACTTACACGTCTGATCCTGAGCTGTTCTTTACTGTGTGCGTCTCACGCCTCTTGACATCCCGTGGCTGTAATGAATATTTACAGCTCGAAAGGTGTTCATTCACAACTGTACAGTTATCGCAGCCGCATCTCCCATGTTGGAGGGGGGCTACAAGATGCTGGTGGAATCCCTACTCTACGAAGTCGTGAATGAGCAAGCTGTGCTCCGGGCGACGCAGTCGTCCCGTTTCTCTCTCTGTGTACTTCGATGCTCTCCCTCACTTAGCCACCTACAGTCTGCCTGCTTATGTAGTGTCACCGCGTTGCTCGCTACCCGCTAGTGTTGCTCACATCTCTAACCGTTACTGGCAGTACTTGCTTGCTGAACTAAAAGCTAACGGTCGCTTAATGCTAAGGCGCTGAGTGTAGCTCCTGCCCGATGCTTCAAAGTCGCTGACTTCGTCCCTCTTCTGCTTTGCATTGCTTTGCGGTACCGTGCCCGTTCGTTATCCGTGCCCGTTTGTTATCCGTGTCCGTGGCAATCGATGCTCGCGGAAATCTATGCATCGTGTCCGACGTGTAATCGGTGGCCTTCACACTTGTCACACTCCCCCCAGTCGCCTTCGTGTAGTTAGCACGAGAATGGAGGCGACTCGATGGCCAAGCGTAGGTTGGCTTTACTTCCACGTTTCGGAATCTAATACATATCCAGATGACACATCGACCGCGAGGGTCCCTTCAGTGAGAGTGTGATTGAGCAGTGCATAGGTTGATGGGTTTCGCTTGGTTAGGGCGTCGGCTATGTTCTGCGGACCTGGGATCCATCTCATACAGTTGAGTTCACTAGCTTCGAAGCTGTTGCGAATGCGTTGAACGGTTTGTCGGAGTCGATAATCGTTGCCCTCGTGAGGCGTCGTAATGGTGTCGTACAGGCAGCATGAGTCGACCAGCAGCTCATTGCCGGTGTTGGAGGCTACAAACATTGAGTTAAGGGCAGTTTTGATGAATCCACGGCCATCCCCATCGGGACATGCCAATATCTCTGCACCATACGAATAGTAACTCACTCTTCTCTGCTTGTGACTCGTCCAGTCAATCGCGTGGAAGATATCTGGAGCTTCGTCTGTAACGATGCGTAGGCCAGTGATGACACCTGATTGACCGTAGTCCTTGGCCGAGTTCTGGTTGAACGAAGCATCCGAAAATGTGCACACGAAGACTTCTGGATGTTCTTCGGGTGGCGGAATGTGACCCATGGTTTTAGAGCGAGAAGCTCTTTCACCATCTCATTGGCTGTAATGAGGCTATCAACACTGAGATGGGATATCATCTGTTGCAGTGTAGACGTGACAAAAGATGCCTGAGGAAGAACCCCGCTTCCCAGATACAGTAGTGTGCATGCGATACTTCGGAACTGCTTAATTTCAGACTCTGTCGAGCCCTCGTTGACTTGTTTGCGTCTTGTGCGTGAAAGAGAAATCGCTTTGATGCGTTCCACGTAGCGGATCATCGACATCTTGAAGTTCCCTTCGCTATCTTGTTTGATCTCGCAACCGTTAAAGTGAAAACGGCTGTCCACCACTACCTTGCCGACGATAAATCGTTAGCGGAGCTTAGCCAGGAAGCAGTTCATTGCCGCGACGGAACCACCGAGTAGGAAATCATCGATGACTTTCGCGACGAGGAGGATGATGCGACCAGTGGGATCGCGCTGCGTGAATAACTGGCTCAGTCCATGGGCTCGTTCAAATCCTGAATCCTTCAACATCCACTCTTCGACCGTCTTCTGCCATTGGCGGCCGGCTTCCACGACACCGTACGGGAGTTTGAGAAGCTTCCATAGAGTCCTCCGCGGGCCTCTCCCCTCGCGTGGCGGGCGGACAAAAATGTCCCTCTTGATTGGGCTGCTTTGTAGATAAGCCCCCTTTATGTCAGCGGTTGCAAGGCGGAAGCCCAGGAATGTGACGAGCGAGAGAAGAAGGCGGATTAAGTTGAGCTGGGCTGTGGAGGAGTCCTTGCGTATGTCGTCTTTCTCATCGTCCCGATTCCCGTGGGGGACGATACGGGCCTTCATGTCGTGGGAGCCATCCTCCTGTGTCTTGGTTTTGTAGACCACGTGAGAGGTGATCACGTTTGAATTACGAGGGATGTCGTGGTCGTTAACGGTGGTGTACGCATCGACCCAGTTCGAGTCGTGCTCATTTTTGAATGCTTCCTCCAAAATCCATGGGGGGCGAAAGCGAGCTTACTGGCAGTGACTTGTTTCGGGCCAATCACATCATAAATTTCGGACATAATGTGTTTGCGGTTGGACTGTAATTCGGTACTGATATCCTGTGCGTGCTTTAATGCGGTCTGTGCGTATGTTCCAACATCGTCTCTGGCCCCTTTCTTTTTATGACTGGTGTTATCAGTATCCGCAGGGGTACTCTGCGTTGCCAAGAGAGTTGGGAGCTGTAGTGCTGTGGAGTCGGGAGTATCAGTGTTGACTGCTGTACCTGTGCCTGGCAAGCGCAATCGTAAGTGCAAGGTACTTGGGGAGGCGTTTCCGTCGGTGCTGTCAGGAGTTGTCGGTCGTTCCTCGAGCATGGATTCGACGGAGCACGACATAAGCTCTGCGGTGAGCTGACCGCGCGGTGCCACGCGGACGTCATCGTACGCGGCTCGCATTGCTGTCGGTGCACCATGGCGATATACCCATCCTGTCTCAATGTTGTGTTTTATAGAATCCATGGATCTGTCGTTAGTGATGAACATCTCGGAATATCCTGTGCCGCTGTCCGTCATGTGCATGAGGGTTTGCTTGCTACTGCGTATAGCGCAAAAGGTGAAGTCGATTTGAAGCTCCTCATTGAACGCTTCGTTGACATGGGTCAGTGATACCTTCTTAGACGACGTAGGCCGGCCGCTGCTGGTGCAGATTTCGCATGCTGTCTCAACATTCTCGATTGCAGCCTCGAGCGATTCATCGAGTACACCGGCATCGGCTAATATCTCCTTGATATCATCCACTGGTCCGTGTGTGTAACGATGTATCTTTTTGGAGAAGGTGAGTGGCATTCGTTTGACCGAAGAGTGAGTTGTTGCGAGGAGTGTTGTTACTCTCACCAAGGGGTGTGGTGCAATGTATAGACGCAGTCTTTCATCACCGGGGACAAGGTATGTGAAAAGGATACAATTTGAGGTATCGGTTGGTCGTTTCATTTCGATGTAGCGTTGGTGGGCAAGGTTGAATGTATTGCAGTATTTCCGTACATCTTGGCCCACGATCAATGGTGACTCGCCATGCACCAAGTCGAAAGTAAGGGAAATCAGTCGGCCTCTTACGTCCGGGACTGTGATCGTCCAGGAGCAGACGATCAGTTTTGCGTCAAGGCAATCTTGTCCCCAACCATGGAGATAATGCTCCCTAGGTGGTTCGAGATATAGCTGGATGCCAAGTATATCGCAGAGGGTGGCTGCGTTGTCAATACTTCCAGTAGAGGTGGGTGCTCCTTCGTCAAGGATTGGATTAGGATCAAGCAGGAGCGCGTCGGACCCTTTTACCATAAACTCTGCTGGTCTAATGTCTTGGAATCCCTTCTAGCATTATTTTCGATAATATCTGGTGTTTCGTTAATGGTGACATGCTTGGCACTCGGGGAAGGCGAACCGACCCAACTGGTCTTGTATGGTATCCTGGCTTGCTGCATGGAGTCACTTTCTCTTTTCAGCATTGTGTTTCATGTTATCGGCATACTTCGGGCAAATCGGATCACGCCACCAATGACCAGTTTGGTTGCAGCTGCGGCATTTTGAGTTAGCTTTTGGTCCTGTACCCACTGGTATGTGTGTCCGGGAACCCTTGTCCGGGCCTTGGTATGAGGACGGAGCATAGCGTTTTCCAAGAAGAGTACCTTGTAGGCGGCTTGCCTCTGTGTGAGTGCCTGTGTTAGTAGTATCAACCCTTACTTCGCAAAGCGCATCTGCTGCATCCTCGAGCGTTATAGAGAACTCAGCACAGTCTGTGGTATTACTGTTCTCGTTGTGATGGATTATCTTGTTGACCTGATTCATGATCAATTTATAGCTGAGGACCACATAGTCGGCTTCTATGGGCGATAGATAAGGTTCCCCGGTACTGCGCCATGTCTTGTAGTCAGTTACTGCTTGGTTGGCTTGTCGGATATACCGTTGAGTGTTGACTTTATTGTGAGGCAAATGTTATCGTTGTTGGTCTGACCCCTTTCGTTTGCCTTGGATACAAGCTGTGTGACGATGGTGCTGTAGACAGACGACGGTATGTCAGCGTTCTCCAGGAGCAACATGGCGAAGTTCTGGCTGTCCTTATCTGTGGAAGAGCTACGGCAGTAATTGAGATATTTAAGTGCTAACCCTTGAAAACGCCTTGCAAACAGTGCAGCCGGCTCTTCGGATTTGCGTTTACAGGAGTAAACATCGCGCATCATCTGTACGAGTCTACGGATACTATCTGTTGCTGAATCTTTGGCTACAATCTGGATGATGGCTTCCACTGCGCGTTTCTGGACTTGCTTGGGATCTTCGTTTCTGTCCGGCTTTAACATCAGGATACCAGCGGCGATTGCACCGTCGAGTTTGAGCGGAAGGCTTCATCAACGGCGTGGTAAAGGGTGATGCCGAGAGCACTCATCATCCCCTTTGACCTTGTGTCACCACCATCGGCGTAGAGCTCAACGAAGGTGGTCCACAGGCGGACTTCAGTGCGCCATTTGAGCTTGTCGGTTGTGGCAGTCAACCTTGGAGCTATGAGGATGCGGTTGTTCGGAGTGGAACTTCCACCTGGGCCCATAACTATCGCAGCCGCGTCTCCCATGTTGGAGGGGGGCTACAAGATGCTGGTGGAATCCGTACTCTACGAAGTCGTGAATGAGCACGCTGTGCTCCGGGAGACGCAGTCGTCCCGTCTCTCTCTCTGTGTACTTCAATGCTGTCCGTACCGCCATCGGCATCTGATTCTAAAAGCGCCAGCGAAGACTTTAACATCGCATTCAGCGATAAATACCCATCACCTGGCTCCTCCTCGGACAGCCCTCCTCGCTCCTTCACCTTCTCCACGTACGAAACCAAAATCTTCGACACATCTCCGCTTTGGTCCTCCGTCATGTACCGCACACTCGTACTTGCAACATTCAGAACCAACGTCAGTCCGGCACACATCCCCAGAATGACGCGAATCGCCTCTATCGAACTCACATTATGAACTGCATCATGGCTCATCCCGCTAGCCCGCAACAGGATTCTCTCCGCCTCGGCCCCTTGCCTTTCTCTCGCGCTGAACTTGACCCGATGGCCAACCAACGCCAAGTTGTCGTCTCTTGTTGAATACAAGATCCTGCTTCTCTCCCCGCTCGTACCAGCTGCACTGCCACCAAGCGTCGATAACTGATGAAGAATACTCTTGTTAATGTCGTTGCGTGCCCACAAGTCATCGAATATAAAAAGACATAATTCGTCCCTAAACCACGATAGCATCAATGAGAGTACCTCATCGACTTCCGTCTGTTCATGCATCTTCTCACAAATACTGTGTCCATTGGTCGCATTGACTGCAAGGCAAAGTTGCTGGATCATCCGCGCAACAGTCGCATCTTTTCCGAGAGTGAAGAAGTAGACTCCGCCCAGATATCGAGCTTTCACTTCTGCATCGTGAGCTATCGCTCGAAAGGCACACGTGTTCCCAACGCCGCCATCACCCACGGCAAACGCCCCGATCGGATCATTGCCATCAGTTCGTAATACAGCCGCCTTCAGTTGTCTCTGGCAAGTCTCTTGTGCACCAAGGCCATGCTGTACATTCAAATCGATATAAACTGAAGATGGGTTGGATGGAGCCATCACGAGGCCCTTGAATACTACTTTGCTGGAACGGATTTCGCATACGATATTTAGATGAGCGCTCGCTTGAATGACTTCTATGCGAAGCTCTTGTGCGAGGTGTTTGCGCGCCGTCAGAACATCCCTGTCACTAATCGCGGTTGCAAAAGAGCGGAGCTTTCCCTGGGGGTTTTCCTCCTCGAACTCCAGATCGGCGAGAGTCTTTGAAATGAAAGTAGAAACCCTGTCAAGCACATCCTTAAGTATTCTGCGATGTAGTTCTTTTATGGACTCAAGGTATGGATCGTCATGCAAACTCTGGATATTGAAAGAGAGTACTTGGTAGGTTAGGAGCATGTCCTTGGCCAGCACGCTGTTGTTTTTGTAGGCGTTATGTAGCTCAATGAGGCGTATAATAAGACAGATAGCTTGCTCAGCCGTCCCGGTGAGACCTGCGATATGAAAAAAACCAGCCATTGTAGCGGGCGGAGAATCAAACCTGAGGTTTGTAATGAAAGAAAAGGTTGTTGCACAGGAGGGGAAGCGTTGTGCCTGTGTGTTTGTGTGTGTATGTGTGTGTTGTGAACTCGTGAAAAGCGGAAGTGGTTTGGGAACGTGGGCCGTGTGTTCTTCGGCTTGACGTGAAAGCGAGGGCTGCATGGAGCGGTAAACGAAGAAGAGTTGGATGGTACAGTACACTGCCAACGAGGATTTACAACTACGCGAAAGGAAGTGGTATTTTAGTGGCACACTCTCGTCCAGACGTACACACGTGTACTGTACTTGTCAATTTTCAAGCCTGTATTGTTAGCCGTAGGGGTACCATTACCACAAAACACCTTTTCTGTGGTTACCGTTAACGGTACCGCTACCGGAAACAACTACTTGAGATTCGCAAAGTCGAGAGCTCGCTCACGTTGTGCTGTCCGCACTCAACTTAGGGGAACACTTTTCGCCTTCGTTATATCCCTCACGCGGCGCACGTTAGAAGACAGAGAAAAATTATTACGTACCCCCTTTTATTTGGGAAGTTTTGTTACGTGCCCCTTTCATAAGCTCCTTTATACAAGCCCCTTTCCTTGGAGGCGCTAGAGTGATGAAAAGGTGAAGAGGGCGTCGTCGGAATGAGTTTGAACAAAGGGAGCACATTCCCTGACAAGCACGGAATCTTGATGGCATCCTTAGCCCTGTGCGCTACCGTGGGCCGATCTCACAAGGTAAAAAAGTCAGACCGTAGACGCCTGCGTATAAAGTGCCCCTCGCAGGAGTGCTCATACATTGTCAACGCTCAACCAGACCGCAGGGCAAAAAATGGCTTGTGGAGAGTGGGAAAACTCAATCTCGCTCACTCCTGCGACGCAATAAAGGGGAAACGAAAGCGCAAGCCCCTAGCCGTGTGCTAGTGTTTGATAATCTCCGCGAGCGGCATGCCAACGTCCTAGAGGGTCTGCACACTGGAATCATCTGGACACAATGTGGGCATCGACTGTTTTTCATCATGCAACACTTGAACGCCAGTATGTTGCTGCTGCTGCCCTTGCCTCTCAAGTAAACATTAACGTGGATTTGCAGATTCTGCCTATTGCCAGACAGATGAGCGCGTGGAGAGTTCCGAGTCAGGCAGGTCGGCCGAAGTAACGGCGGAAACAGGGGGTCGCAGCGCCTCAACGAAAGTCGCGTTGCTCTGCTTGTGGTCAGGTTGGGCACTACACTACAACTTGCGAAGCCCCAGACACTGTGTACCTCTACTGGAAAATCGTTCGGGAGTGAGGTGAAGAAAGGGGCACGTAACAAAACTTCCAAAATAAAAGGGGCACGTAAGAAATTTTCTCTAGAAGATATGTACTGTAGTCGGAAGCTGCAATTCTACAGTAACCCGCATAATTGCTTGTGAAACGCTGTGCGGAGATAGTTATCCACCTTATTTGTACACCTCTCCTGTCTACACCTGCTTCTCCCTGTTAATAGAGACTGTACGCAAACAAATTTCAGGAATACAGGTGACTAAGTTTTCGGAAATGCTTTTCTGAAAAGTTAAGCTGGATTTCATTTCTCACAGCTACCCTTGCGGGTCAACGCCTGACGACTGAGGAGAAGTCAAAGAAGTAATAAAGGGTAAGGAGAAGGGGAATATGCGAGTGGCGGGGCGTCGTCGTTGTGGCGAGTGCAACAGATGGGGTGTTCCTAAGTGGTGTCTGAGAACAAAGTTAAGTGTAGAGTTTTTTGTGTCACTTTCGTGCCTCCAAGCCGACCGAGGCTCAGTTCCGAGAGCTCCTTTTATATTGCTACTATGCCCGAGGTTTTGTCGAGTCTATCCCCTAACTTCCAATTAATCAATCTAGAGCTTTCTACGCCGGCTATAGAAGCTTCCACAGTGGTCTGATACTAGAGCTTGTTCGATTTCTCCGCTAAGCAATTGAAATTCCCTCTAGAACATTCTAGAGCATACTAGATCATTCCCATCACTTACAGATAGGAACAGTCACTTAGATGCCAAAAACCAACAGTCGTATGCATAAAGCACCATGGTGACTTAAGCCAACTTCTCTTCACATTGCGTGACAGGAAGCCCTGAACCTATCTATGTGATGGAAATTTGATGGTCGGAGAATTTTGATGGGAACGCATAACATTCTTCGCTAGCTGACGAAGTCCAAACTTTGAAAGCGGTGTATTCATACCGGAAAAGTAAATCGCCGCCTCCGAGATTAATTTTTCTCGTCGTTCAGTTAAATACAGCGGTCTTCCGGGGGCGAGCATGGTAAACTGGATTTCCAATGGCCATGTTGGTTTGCTGTCTCGTGGTGACTGAGCCCATCTCGCATATACCGTCCTGCCTGTTGATATTCCTTATATTCTCTCGTATGCCCTGATATCTTCAGACCTGATCGAATTGATTTTCTTTTTTCTACGCTGAATCTAAATGGTCCTCTCCCTTGTAGTACCTGAATAAGGCCGATTAACGAGAGGAATGATTTCTACGCTGGTTCAAGTACCTTTACAAGTTGCCTTACTTCTCTCGTAATATGAGCTCCAAGGCGAACTAAGGTGTCTAGAATATAGTATAGGCTCCTACTATTCATCTGAGCCACATTGTACTGGTTTCGCGGACCCACACTTCTGTGGTAATCTGCAAGCGGAACTTTGGGTATAAAATAGGTAGCCACTCGGCTACGATGGACAGAGACAGAACATCATCAGTAAAGAAAAGAAGTCTCCGGTTCTCACACTGTGCTCAAGGGTATATCCACAGTTCTCCGCTCAACAGGTTATGTACACCCAGTGTTGGTGACTTTTTTCGTGACAATTGCCTTCAGACAGAAATGGAGGACAGTCGCCGCATCCACAAATTTTACGGTAAACCGCATGAAGACTTCCAGCAGTGGCAGGTCCATACTGAGGCTGCATTGCAGAGCAAGTAATTGCTGTACGTTGTGGAAGCAGACGTTGTTGGAGTTAATGATCCATTGACGCTCTCGGCGGAATCTCAGTTGGCCATTTCACAGGCTCGGGCCATCATCGTCCAGGGATTGGGGGATCGTCCCCTTCGAGTATGTATCTTGGAAAAGAAGAATCTCTACAAGATGTGGGGCCGTCTTAAGGAAAGATATGCAGTCGTGAATGTAGCAACTCGGGTTCAGTTGCAGAGTCGCTTGTCTTGTGTGGAGTATTCCAACCAAGAGATGCCTCAGTACATCGATACCTTCGAGGAAATATTTAATCGCCTTGCCAGTATGGACTGCAAAATCACGGAAGATTTGCAAGTTGCCATGCTATTGGCATCCTTTAGAGATAAGAGTAAATCTCCATATGGCCAAGTCCTGGCAGTCCCTCAAACAGTGAATGAGATGCTGACCTGGGAGTCAGCTTCTGCCCGACTTCTTCAGGAATTTGAAGAAAAGGAATTCGAAGGTCGTGTGAACCGTACTACATCATACTCTAGAAATGGTTTGATTGAAAAGGGCCTCGCTCTGGCGGCTGGTAATAAGAAATGGGGCACTCATCGTAAGGGCTTCAATCCCAAAGGTACACGCATTGAAACGCGTACATGTTTTGAATGTGACTAAGTGGGACACATAGCACGTAATTGTCCTCAAAAGAAATGTCAGGATCTTCAAGCAGAGCAAATGGAATTGCCTGAAACGGTGAAGGTTGAAGAGCGCACCATGATGAATGCCCCGACACCTCAGGTTCTGCATGTACATGCAGAAAAGTCATCTAAGTTTCGTAAGTCTAACCTTGTGTTGGATTCAGGCCCCAGTGACCATATGATTAATTCGGAGGGTCCTATGCACAATATTCGCCGTCTTCCCCTATGATAGATCGTGATGGGAAATGGAGCCATCGTCTCAGCTTGTATCACAGGAGACGGCCAAGTTTGTTCGTCCCTCTCTGATGGCAGAACTCCATCAATCAAAAAACTTGTTCTGGTAAATAATGTGCTATTCGTTCCGGGATTGAAGAAGAATCTCATATCTGTATCATGCATTGCTGATTCCGGATACGAAGCGCGATTTATAAAAGGTGGCGGATGCCGTGTCATGAAGGATGGAATTCTCGCTTTGCAAGGAAGAAAAATCGACTCGATCTACTACCTCAATGCCACATGGAGCAACTGTCGTGATGTTTCCCTTGATCAAGACGAAACCTCAAAGTACAAAAATTTGCATAGTTCCCAGGCGCAGGTAGCGGCACATACGGAAACCGAATCGACTTAGGCATGCTAACCCGGATAGCGTCGTAAAAATGCACCGCGTTGGAGCAGTGAGGGGCTTGGACAAAAATGTCCCATACGGTCAGTGCGGTATTTGTGGGCCTTGTCACAAAGGAAAGAACTCCCGCAGTCCAATGCGATCGCGCCCGGAGAACTCCAAGAAAGTAGGAGACGTGATCCACAGTGATGTCTGCGGGCCAATGTCATCGGTTTCGTTGGGTGGATCTCGTCACTTTGTCACGTTTATTGACGAGCACTCACGCTATATAAGGGTTGTGCCACTTGCCAAGAAAAGCGACGTCGCTTCCCAGTTCATTAACTTTCAGCGAAGGTTCGGACGCAAGTTTGAGTGCAGTATAAAAACTCTGCATAGCGACATCGGGGGTGAGTACACGGCTCTGGAACCCTTTCTCGCTGAACAAGGATTTGAAGTCAGCCGATCAGCGGCCTATTGTCCAGAACAAAATGGCATTTCGGAACTTGCCAACCGAACATTGGTTGAGTCGGCTAGGGCATTGCTGGAACACGCTGGTCTTCCGAAAACGTTCTTGGCGGAGGCCATTTCTGTTGCTGCTGACTTGCGCAATTGTTTCATTTCGCCGAATAGTTCAACCGAGATGCCGTTTGAAATGGTAAGCGGGGAAAACCCAAGGGTTGATCATTTGAGGGTGTTCGGGTGCCTTGTGTGGGCTCACGTTCCCCCAAAACTTCGCACAAAACTGGACGACAAGGCCGAAAAGGGAATACTTATTGGGTGTCTAGACCGTAATCAGTACAAAGTGTACCTGATTGAACGCAAGACAACTGTAGTGTCCAGGCATGTTAAGATTCATGAGGACCAATTCCCAGCACGAAACTGGTCTCATGAAGAAGAAGAAGGTGCGTCCGTATGTGGTACAATTCCACACCGCGACCCCCGGTGGGAGATGAGAACCGTCGAGACGGACGGTTACTACTGTAGTAATCGTGCACGCGCCCTCTGCAAGCACAGTAGTACCTCCACGGCGTACACGTGGCACAACCGTTGGCGCCAGTCGAGGCCACGGGCACACGTGTGCGACCCGTCCGGTAAGTAATTAGCAATTAGTGGTTAATGGCACAAATTAGCCAATTTAGTACAGTAGCTGGTATACAGTATGTAACAGCTACTGTAGCGGGACAAGTGCCCTGGCGTCCCACTTAGGGGTTAAGACCGGGGGCACCTGCCCCGTTCCAGTAAACGGGGGTAGACTCGCCTCCCTTCCCTTTGCGGCTTTTTGCTAACTCCGTCCGGTTTTACCTCTAAGTCTCAGGCTTCTAACCCGTGACCGGCCGTCCGGATCTAACACCACCGTCCGGCTGCGCGTCACCGGCTACGTGAGCCTTCCCTCTTTTCGAGTCCTTCCGTACGGTTTGCGCTCGCGTGGGTTTCCTAGCGGCGCGCGCTCCCTTACCTCTAACCCCCCTCGTTCCGAGTGGCCGGGACGAAGGTAGTTATACCACATTTTGGTACTCTTGTGGAGGAAATAACTACAGAGGTTGAGCCCGCACTGGATTGCCAGCGCGAGCAACTACCGATCGGATTGAAAGAGGTCGAAAATCACGGCGTCGATCGCCAGTGATCATCGACGATGAACCGTGCGGATTCCGCCGGAGAAGATACCGCCTCCGGGCGAGCAAGTACCCGCAGTGGCAGAGGCGCACAGCGCCCCCGGATCGACAATCCGGAAGCCGTGCTACGCCCGCCGTCTACCAGGGGCCAGAAGACCCCTTCCGTTTTGGACACCACCGCCGGGCTACCGGCTGGTGGGGGGAACCGCGTACAAGTACTGTACGACGCGTTACTCCCGCGACTACAAACCTGGATGGAGGATTTCCTCGCTGAGGAACTACCTCAGGTCGTCCAGGTTTGCCTCGACCGAACGGCACCAAGACTGGTGGCGGA